AATGGTTCGTTGCTATGGCAGCGAAAGAAGAGGAAAGGTAAGGAAGTGTGTAGCAGTGACATGATTGCGATGTTCAAAAAGGTAAAAAAAAAAAATCGGTAAAAATTAAAACAAAACAAAAAAAAAAAATTTTTGTAAAAGTAAGTAAAAGAAAAATTAAAAAAAAAAGATGAATGAATAGAAACTACAAACAAGTAGGATAATAACTAGAGAAAAAACTTGTGAAAATAAAAATTGCTGAAGTGAAAAGTTTCTGTTTTTTTTTTTTCAAACAAGTTGTTGAGATAAAAACAAATTTCATGAAAATAATTCAACTGTGTGTAATTGAGGTGTGGCATAAATTGACCATAATTTAAATTTTGGAAACAGGAAAACTTTAGATATGCTGTTGTTGATAAATGCATCTTGTACGTGGTAGTAAGTAGGTGAAAGTTTAATGAGAGCAAAGTATGGAGCATTTGAAGTACGTAAGTAAATGCTGTTAGATGAATTTGAATTGACTGATGTTGCCATGTATGTATTGGGCATTAGGCCTCCAATTTGCGTTGATGAAAACGTGCAGCTAATTACATACCTACTAGTTAGTTTGAGAAAATGTTAAGTAGCAAGCAGTTAACATTCGAAGAGTTCAAAGAGGATGTACTGACAGTTCGTTGTCGCCATAAATTACGTGCCACTTCTATGTATCTATTGTAGACCAATCTACCTTGCGGAGAAAAATTTAATCTTAAAGGAAAAACTGAATATGTATGACCAGACATCTCTGCTGATAAATGGCCGTGAGCAATGGCCCGCCATAAAAATGACCGTCCTGATTTGACAGTGATTTAAGTGCTTCATTTTTCAGAACCTTTTATGTTGGGCAGAAGTAGCAGGAAAAATACAAAGAGTCATACATACATTTAACGAACATCGCAGATGAAGTGTAAATTTCTGAAAAAGCCGGTACTTAAATAGCATATTTATTGTTGCTGTCAGCTACATTTTTGTAAGCGACATGACACATGAGCTAATGTCCTAACCATTATTGAATGACAGGGTAGGAGGGTAGGAGGTAATTGTTGTTGTTGTTGTCGTTTTTCCCCCTTAGTTTAAGTGGCATTCATACAAAAAGGACAAGAGAGAATTTTATAAAATTAAAAAATTTAAATAAAATAGATGACATATAATGAATAATGGACATTAAAATATGAAGGTTAGGTGAGGTTGCAATGGTTGGAGTGTATGGATAAGTACTAGGTCCTATATAGATAAAAAAAAACTGTGGAATCTAGGAAGCTCACTTGTTCACAAACCACTTTGTTGACGCTATAAACTATATCAGAGCGCTCTTATCTTCAACTTTGAAATCTCTTCAAGGTAGTGAAGAAGGGGCTGGTCAAGCTTGCGTAACTTTCTTCTACTTGAAGCCGGGCAAAGGTGTTGGACATTTTCTTTTTCTTGTTCATCCCTGCAACTATGGTCCGGTCTGTTATCTCACAGCGAGTAAGCCAACTTAGAAATATAAGTTTTTAACTTTTTTGTTTAAATTTAAGCGAAATAATTTGAGTTTCCAGTTATCGGAAGGCTAGGAATCCCGTTGGTTTCACAGAAAGAAATATTCTGTTAAAACTGTTATGCATACTGTGTCCTAGCGTAATTTTCATTTGTCAACTTTTGCAATTAGCCTCAACGGCCCGGTGTCCAGGGTATCCACGCACTCGTATTAGTTGAATTCAATAGAGAAAACTCCACTTAAGTCCCCATTTGCAATCGCATTGTGACCGTTGATGAAACCTGAACTCGTCAGTATTGATGCGGTGTTCAAGCAAGAGTTCATGCAGCTGGTAAGGAAGGGGAGAAAGCACAAACAAATCTGTGATAGCGAGGAACTTTCGTCAACTCATTACTTGTCAGAAGGGACTGCGAATACAGCCAGTTCTGGGCTAATTTACTGAGCCAGGTGAAGGGGGCTGTCGAACAGCATGGATGTGGCAAGTTGGCGCACGGAGTTCTGTTTCTGTTAGTTCAGACCTGACTCTCAGCAACTTTCCTTTTGAAGAAGAAGTTATGGAATAGAAAATAGTGAGATGAAGGCGGCCTTAGGGAACTTACTCAGTATTAAAGGTAACTAGTAAATGGATTACCTCTTTCGTATATGCAATTACTTTGTGTACATCCGCCTGCATGCGCTGCAACAGTTGGTTGTTTTTAAAACCTATAGGAGCAGGTGTTCTTTCTTGACTGTTCTCCGAATCACAAAACCCGGCTAATTTCGAACTCATCATCATCCTGTGGCTGGCTGTCATGGTTAAAATATCTAATGGCCCTCGGGACTATTTTGTTCCTGGTACTCTTGAGGATGAATGCTATCAGCTATAAGAGGTCCAGGGGTATTTTGTTCAATAGTAAATAATTAATTTGAGCAATTTAAATGGATTGAGAAACTTTTGTACTTATTTGCTTTTTGTAGTAATTTCGAAACCCGGAACTTTTAAACTCCTTGAAATTGCATTTCGGAAAAATCTCATTGAAGAGGAGTTTTTTTATCTTTTTACGAAATACAAACAGCAAAAAAATTCAAAACACACAAAAAAATCGATATACCTACATACATACATACTCACGAAACAAGGGACTAAATATAGTAAAGGTTTTTTTTTAGTTCTTCTCACTGAAGTTAGGACTTTTTGAAAGGATGTTGCAATTTCAAAAATATGATTACTTCAAAAACTCATTAAAATTTTTTTTTTGCAATGTGGAAAAGCAATATGAGTATCAAATAAATGAGAAAGTTTTCTGGAATTTAAAGCAATACAAGGACGAATTCGCATAGAAAATGCCCTTCTAATTGATTTTTTATACGAAACTAATAAAGTTAGAAAGACGAAATTCGAGCATGCGGTAGTCTACATATTGGTAATTTTCAAGGATATACAAGGATACATTTTTTAAATGAAATTGTTTATACCTAATCGTCATTGTACATTTTTGGCGATTATATTGATGTTTTTTTTTTGTAATTTAATTTTTTTGTAATTTAATTTTTGCATTTAATTTGTAAATAGGGGACGTAATTTCCAAAATTAGAAAACTTTGAACTTGAAATAGTTTTTATGAAACATTTCTAACATTGCAAAACAAGAATAATAATGGAAAAATGTACAATAAACTTCTAAGAAATTTTGGCGTCCCAACTAGGCTATTTTATTGATTTTTTCAACGCCCCTAATTTCTAAGAAAACAATTTTCAAGTCCTTTCTGTCAGTTGTACGGCTCTATTCTGTATAAGTGACAAATTCTTGTCAGTTTTTCTTTTACGGAAAAATATATGAAAAAGCTAAAATTTGTCAGTAAAAAATGTTTGTCACCGATACAGAATTAGGTTTATTAATATGAAATTGGGATGTGTGCAAAATTTGGGCCAAACTGAAGGCCATTGCACAGAAAATCTTCACTTTTTTCACGTTTAATAGGCAGTAGTGTTTGAAACATATGTATGTATGCATGTACATATGTATGTACAAACAGTGGTGGAAAAATAAATAGAGATAAAACATTTTTTTTTAATTTTGCCTATTTTTCTTTCGCTTATTTAATATTTCTTATTTGTTTCTAAAATTATAGCTCATTGTCTAACAAAAACCATACATGTAAATTCATATTCCAAACTTTGTGCAAAAATTATAAAAATTCTGTAAAATTGCATCAAAAATTTCAACCTTTTAATACAATTTTTTGAGTATGCAGTTTTATAGCCCAATTTTAGTAAAATTCTAAGTTGCTAAAAAACGCATTGAATTTTGGCAATTTTTTTTAAAAGCATTTCCTTCCATACAAAGTATGTTCGAACATTTTTTTGTATGGAAAAAAGTGCGTAATACATTCAGAATAAAAATTATCAAAAATCAACGCGATTTTTTAGGAACTTGCATTTTAAAACTGCATACCCAAGAAAATTCTTAAAAATTTTATGAAAAAGTTGAAAATTTAGATGCGATTTCGCAGAATTCTTATAATTTTTGCACAAAATTTGAAATGTTATTTTACATGGTTTTTGTTAGATAGTGAGATATACTTTAAAAAAAAAGTACTAAATATTAAATAAACAAAAGAAAAATAGGGAAAATTTGTTAAAATGTCGCGTCCCTATTTATTTTTCCACCACTGTACGTATATTTGTATGCATCGATGTTTGAAAGTCACTTCGATAACAAAAGGATACCCCCAACTTTTTCCTCAGCAACGCACCCGACTCGAGCAACGACCAACCATCACTTGGTATTGATTGTGATTGATTGCGGTGTGCGTTGGTGACGGTAAATAGCACCAAAGGGATGACATGAGTGCAGCAACGAAAGGAAAAAAATAAAAGAAAACATCAACACTCACAACAAAAGTAATTGCCACACAATTCATAAGCAAATAAATCACAAGCACAAAAAAAGGTTCTAACTTTTAGCTACATACAAGAGCCTCAGGCTCGCTAACTCACAACTCGATGGCAGCAAAATTAATGTGTGCAAATACTCGTAATTTTGTGTGCTTGATCATGACCTTCCAAAGCTTTTCAATGCAAGCGCTTACGTAAAAGCTGAATGTGTTAAAGGGTTACATTTTTCCAAGCCCAAAGGGTGGCATAAAACGCCGAAAAAATAGCAAAAAAAAAAATTAGAAATACGCGTACACGGAAATCACTTCGGTCTTCCTTTAGATATTCGTTATGCCTTATCAATTCAAACACAACCATTTTTTTTCTTTACCTAAAAAATGGTTGACAGTCTTTTGGGTAGTATTAGCGAAAAATAAATAGAAATAAATCGGTTGTAGCTTCAAAAGGTTATGGGCAAACAAAACGAATTTACCGGTTATTATGTATTTTCAAAATCGTCGCAAAGGGTAAAATATATTCACTTTATGCTTTTATGTTGTAGGTAAAATTATAATTTACGTAAATTAATATTTAAAACTGTCCTACAATTGAATAAAAACGTTTTTTGTTATTTTATTGCTTGACTTACTTGCTGAAGCCTTTGTAGACAGTGGCATATGAACCCTCACCGAGCGGTTCCAGTTTTATGTAGGCATCAGATTTTCCAAATGGCGAGTCACCCTGTAAGTAAAAAGATCAAGGTTAAAACGTTAATAGAAAATACGTATACATAGCTCCCTGTTATGATCGCCAGCGCCTAAAATAATGTTAAAAAATATATATTACGCGATCGTTAGCACAAGCGTTTGTACGAATATGCATACATATGTACATACATCCACACAGGCATCGAACTGCGTATGTACATCAATCATTCGAAAAGCTGAAAATTTGTCTGTTAAAATTAATTAATTACCATGTATTTAATTAATTTCAAGCGTACCCAAAAATTATAATTAGCTCCTCTCAATTATCATTTAATTACTTAATTTAAAATTAAATTAACGAATTAAAATTTATATGCCCACTTTTCTTTTTACTAAAATTTACAAATTAAGTACTTTTTTAAATACTTTGCCCTGAACTCAAAAATTTCAAATTAAGTACGCATTAAAAATGTGTACCTCCTATCAACCAACAAAAGCCGTTTACTATATATTCAATCCTTTTGTATATTCTGTCGAACCTTCGATATGTAAATGTATTCAATATCGGGACACTCAATACGCCATAAAACGCAAGGGTCCCATCAAGATAAATTCCAAAGAGATCAAAAATTTTTGCCTTAACAAAATCTTAACTATTACCGTTCACATTTAACTCTTTGTAGGCCAAACTATAAAATGCAGTTGAGAATTGAAAACGTGTTAAGTTGGAAGCAATCGCATGTCAAAGAAATTTTTCCATGCTATGAAGTGAAGAATGAATATTATTTTAGTAGCAGCTCACTTATTTAGTGGTGGTTGAATGTGTGAGGAAGTCAGCAAAAAGCAGCCGGCAAACAAAGTGGCACACAGAGTGACGCATTGTATTAAATTTTGTTGCCAATGATGACAGGGTGGTACATATGAAAAAATATTTTGCCAGAGTAGTCAGTTATAGGGGTGCGTGTGTGCAAATCGCAAGTTGAACAGACGAACGAAATCAAGCTGCATGTAATATATGTACATATGTATGTATATCGTTACCTTAACTCATGGAGCTGGAAAACTATCGATGACAATATTGATAGTATCGATGGTTTTTGACTATGGAAAATATCGATGGTTTTGTAAGCACAATCGATAGTTTTCACTCAAAGGTCTATTCTGCACGTTACCGAAGATTTTGTAACCGGAGATTTTGTGCAAATTCTGGCATTGCGTATTTCACGGGGCAATACTTTGTTACCAGCTTATGAGATGGTAACAAAATTTACCGGTTACAAGAATACACAGAATGCGAAAAGGGTTTAAAAATTGACAGGAACTTTATTTACCGGTTACAAACTTTTTATTACCAGCGCAGAAAAGACGTGTCATTCATACATTATTCAGTAAGAACAAAAGCCTGCTTCATCTTGTAAATCGGAAGGGACATTTAACAAAGCAGGGCAAATAGTTTTAGAGCGCAGATGCTGCTTGAAGCCAAAAATAAACTGATAAACTTTTGTCCCTAAACAAAAATATGGCCATATTTTAGCAATTCTGATCTCATTTTCAATAATAGTTGTTATGTTTAATTTTTGGAATAATTTGGAATAGTACTATCGATAGTGTCGACATTTTCAATAGTATCGATACTATCGATGGTTGTGACTATCGACTATCGAGACTGTCGACGGCCACGCCCATCGATAGTTTTCCAGCTCTATTAACTCATAAAGATCCTAACCAGGGTTGCCACTTTGGTAAATTATTAACAAAATTGGTAGAAAAAATTTGCGTTGGTAAAAAGGTAAATTTTTTCTCATTTCGGTAGATTTTCGTTAAAGAATTTTGTTTGAAAAACAAATTAAATTTTAATTGCCGCTTTATTTTTCCTAGTTATCTTTATATCATAAATTTATTTCCAAAAGTCTAGTCTTCTTTATTGTATTAATTTTCAACCGCTTTAGTGTACACATTTTATATAAGATTCTGAAGCAATTTCAAATTTGGACCAAAAAACTTAGCTATAAAGCTGCAAAAAGTATTGGCGCAGCAAATTTTACGCAATATATACAACAATTTTTATTTTTATTTTTTCGCCAAGTTTTTATTCAAATATGTTTCGTTCTGCAATAAGAAAAATCAAAATATAATTCCTAAACTTTGTGCAAAACACACGAAAATTCAGCAAATTTTCACGCAAATTTTCAACTTTCAAACCAGATTTTATTTAGAATTTTATTCGAGTATGCAAATTTGTAGCTCAATCCATTTTATTCTAATAAAGTACAAGTTTTAAGTAGCTAGGAATTACCGTTGATTTTTGGCAAATTTTTTTTTCACGCAGCCTCTTCAATACAAAAAAAAATCGAAAAAAAAATGGAAAATATGCAAAACACCTTCAACAAAAAAAAAATCTCAAAAATCAATGCGATTTTTGACTAACTTCAAACTTATATTTTTTTGCTAGAATTTAATGGGCTCCAAAACTAAATACTCAAAAAAATTCTGAAAAATCTGGAATGTTCGCGAGTTTTGCATAAGCTTAGGAATTATATTTTTATGTTTTTTGTTGTAGAATATTTTTATAAAAAATTGGCGGAAAAATATTAAAATAAAATTTGTTGCATACATTGTGAAAAATTTGCTGTGCCAATACTTTTTGCCGGCAGTGTAAGTTAATAAGTTCAATTAAATATTTATTACAATACAAGTGTCAAACGAAAAAAAGGTTTAAGAGAGCTTAATTTCATAAACATTTTTGAAGAGGTTTTTCACCCGTTTAAAAATAAAGTTTTGTACGCAGATATGTAGTTTATACCTGGACTGAAAAATAGGCAAGATATTACTTACTAAAAACTCTAAGACGCACTGCTATCAAAGTGGATTCTCAAATCTGTCCCCGCGAATACCTGCGTTTAAGATACTGTAAACAAATCAAACAGTTATAAAAAGTGTACTGGCCCTAAAAGGCTACCTTTTGAGGTTTCCGAGTCATGCGAGTCTTGATGATAACGAAACAGTAAATACAAATCTCAAAAACAAAAAAACAAATAAAAATTAATATATATGTATTTCCATTTTTATACAACTTATCTAACCACTACTACATATTAAAGCGCCCCATTACAACACCATTATTTTCGCACATTTCATTTCTTTCTAAGTACTAGCCTTTTCCTATTACATGCTTCCCTTTTTACTAAAAGTCATTACATACAATAAAAAAAAAATATGTATAAAAGCAGTTGCTGGTAAATACTTACACCAAAAGCACTAAATCGTTTCCGTCGCGGATGCGTTTCTTGTTTGTTGAGGAAAACCTCCGATTTAGGTCTGGGCGGCTTTTTCGGACGCATAATAACGCGCGTCTCCTCTCGAATGTCATCGTCCAGCAATTTGCTATCGGATGAAACGGACAATTGCCGCTGGACGCGATCATGGTGGTCGGTGCTGTCGGTGCTACGCCAGTCTGTAAAATATATAAAGAAGAAAAAGGATAAAGAGATTAGTAAGGAAGCGAAGGAAGGTGAAGCGAAGAAAATAAAGAGAAAAATTGCATTTGCTGTCACACACACAGCTGCAGAGATGTATGTACAATAAAGCTGGAGAAGGGCATTCTTAAGGTATGTACTACCTGCAAGGATGGTTATGAAGAATTCAAAAAAAAAAAAGTAATAGAAACGCTCTTCCCTTTTTTTATATGAATAGAAGTGGAGAATAATCGAAAGACTTTAAACAGCTATGGCTGCACCCTTTGTTAATTTATCTTTCATTTTTCCCCAGCCGAACCCTCAACATTTAAAATTTAAATGCTGAATTTTATTAATTGAAATAAACCGCTAACTGTAAATGCGACTCAACCAGTCTGCAAATGCAATTTACTCACACACACACACACACCCACACACACACACACACACACACACACACACACACACACACACACACACACACACACACACACACACACACACACACACACACACACACACACACACACACACACACACACACNCACACACACACACACACACACACACACACACACACACACACACACACATTTATATACATACAGTGACTCAAACAAATGACGACCTCGGTTGATTTTTTTTTCAATATTTGTGATGTGTTTTCGACCAAAAATTTTTTATTTTTTATTTTTTATAAAAATACCGTTCAAGCTTTAATCAAAACCGTATAAATCACAGTTTCAAACTTTATACAAAATTTAGGAAAAGTCAACAAATTTTTAACAAAATTTCTTTTTAGTCGGAATCTTTAGAACATTTTTGGATCTGCAGTTTTATAGCCCATACAACTTTAGTGTAATGAAATGCAAGTTTCAAACGGCTAAAAAATCCCTTGATTTTTGAGAATTTTTTTTTGTTGGCGAATTATTGCAGTTTTTTCAATATAAGCATGAATTCTTATGAAATAAAACGTGGGAGAACGTTAGCAACAAAATTTCAAAAAATCAACGCCGTCTCAAAAAAAAATAATAATAATAATCTCAAAAATCAACGCGATTTTTTAGTCGATTGAAAGATGCACTTCATTAGACTAAAATTGTATGAGCTATAAAACGGCATTCCCAAAAATGTTCAAAGATTCAGATTAGAAATATGAAATTTTGATGAAAATTGCTTGAATTTTCCTTAAAAAAATTTTAGGTTAACGCTTGGACGGTATTTTTTTTTTATAGAAAAATAACAACAAGAAAATTTGCTAGAAAAACATTACGAATAAAACCAAAAAAAAAAAACAACAACATGTGGACATTTGTCTGAGTCACTGTACATGTGCACCACCACAAATTAAAGCTGCAGGCTATATACTATAACCCACTTTCGAGGCAATCGCTGAACTGTTGTGGTATGGCTGCCACACAATTTAAGTGCAACTACAGCAAATTACGGAAGCTTAAGGGAATTGCGACTACGGAAAAATGGCGGCGAACTATGCGTTTCCGTTTAAATGGGCGGCAGCAAAAATGGAAATCATCATTTCCATTTCCAGTGTCCGGAAGTACAATGGATGATAGCGATTGCCTACTGCCACATGCTTGACTTCATTTCGGCATAGCTGAAGTATGTATGTATGTAAGTGAACTGATGGCATAAAAATGCAATTCAACTACATAAATATGTACATATAAAAATCACTGCACACATATACATATATATATGTAGATACAAATGCCTGCACATGCAGCCATATAGGGCGTGGAATTTTGTTTAAAAAATGCACAGTTAAATTCAAGTACATAGATGATTTTTTTATTGCACAATTATTTCATGCAATCTAAATTGCTATAGCAAGTGCTTGCGTCAGTTGTGTTCATGCATATACATAACCTTAACAAGCGCACCTAACGACGCACATGCAATACATACAAACATACATACATAGATATGCATACAAAAGCCCCACTAATTGTATGTGTTCAAGTTGCCGTAACGAAGGGCGCAGCGCACCAAAAAGGATGTCAGCGAAAGTAGCCAAGCAAATGTAATGCCGCCACACCGACACCACCACCAACGACAACCTTTTTTATTTGCCACAATTTACACAGTAAATAAAAAAGGTTACAAGTAAAAAACAGAAAATTACGGAGTGGAAATAATGTCGACACCACTGGGAGCATTGAATTGGAGCACAGCTGTGCAAAAGTTGGTCTAGGACATTACAAAGATTCGTGTCCCATTCATATGCATATGGAAATATGTACTAGGTATGCAGAAGCATATCCGATAGCAAATTTGCACCCACCCGTACATATTTGAATAAAGCTGCAGCGACAACGCTAGGCCACACCTAACGAACACACCTCAGAACGCACGCGGAATGGATGAGCAAAAAGGCGGATGCGTGCAAGTTCATAAGTGTAGCTACTGTAAGCGCCTAAAAGTATGCAAGGTAGCACGCTAACGAGGCTAACAACAAAGTGAAAGTGTGCAGATCAGTGTTGCCAGGTGGTCCTTATAACTAAACCCTTAAGTCATTTCGATTCTCTTTAAAAAAGAAAACCCTAAATGTATATACAGGCCGATTCTGAACAGAAACTCCCGGGAGTTTTCTCTCTTTTCCCTTTCTTCCTATCATGAATAAAAATTCCAATTTTTGTATTTTTTTATGTTAAATTGCGGAGTTGAGCTGTCAAAAAAGTGGCAAACAACTTTTTCGAAGTTCGAATTTCCTCCTCCCAAATTTTTGGGGGAAAATGCTGCTCCCTGGGTGTTAATTATTGGGGGATTTCTTTCTCTGGAGAAACAAATTCCCGGAGAACGAATTCCCCAGGAATATTAACGATCGGGCTAATAGTTTGTAGGTATCCAGGGTTGCTAGATATTAGTAACTCGGGTATATAGAAGTGTTGGCCATTAACCAATTAATTCTTCAATCAACTTATGAATTTATTAAAAAAGGAATTGCAATTAAACTTTTAATTGCACATTGCAATTAAATTAATTACAATTTATTTAATTGCAATTACTTTCTTAATTTTTCTATCACACAATTAAAAATAAAAAAAAAAATACAAATTGACCATATTGTATGGAAATAAACTAAAATTGTGGGTGTGCACAATTGTCTGGTTATCAGGTTATCTGGTAATTTTTTGATTCAGTTTACAATTATGTAATACACGATAAAATAGTAATTTTTAATCAGACAACCTGATAACCAGGCAAGAGTGAATACCAACAGTATTAAAAGATTTAGAAAATGTTACCTACATTAACAAAAGGGGAAAACTTTATTAAATAATTATAAAAAATTATAAACATATAAAAAACAATAAATTCAATTTTAGATATTAGAAAAAATCCCTAAAGATTTTTTATCCCTAATGGCCCAGAATGACACTAAATCTAGGGAGAAATAAATAAACTGGCAACACTGGCGCAGATAGTGAGTCATCGCATGTGATTGCATTTATACACGTACAGTGTGTAAGAAAATCGTTTGCGAGTGAATTATTTTAAAATTATGTATTTTGTGTTTTCAAATAAAAGTGAAAAAAGGCATATGAACTAGAAAAATGCATAAAAATATAATATATAATATAATTATATATAAAATATAATATGTAATTATTACGCTGATTTGTCCCTTTTGTATTTAAGGAATAAAGTTACATAGAAAAAATGGTTCAAGCCACAAAAACAAAAAAAAGTGCTACAAATGCGATCAAAAACTGATCCAAATTTTAATATTTGGTATGTCGTATAATCAATGTATTCTTATAGTTTCAGCCGTTTTGATTGATCCTAAATAGAAAATTATATTGACCTCAGAGGAGAAAAACTCAATCGCGTAGGATCATTATTATGCCAAGTTTAAGAAGTTAAGCTACTTTACTTAACGCGTCCGAAACTGAAATTTCACTAAAAATATCCACAAATCCGCTGATATGTCTATTCTGATACAGAAAACACAAGGAACCCGAATAGTCTCGAAAAATCACAAAAGTTGCAGAAAATTCTAAATAGGACACGAAGAATTCCGAAAAATCTGTAAAGGTCCGAAAAAATCCCTTTCATTGAATTTGTCCTTTATATTGAGCACATGAGAAAACAATCTTTACTTTCGTCTTGCAGCGTATGTATGTGTTTTTTTTTTTTTGTATCCATAGAAATCGTGCCCGGCCTCAAAATATTAAGAAAAAATTTTGAAGTCTTTTCATTAAAAAACGGTCTCAGTAAAATTGTTGAATTTAATTGTTTTTAGGACAAAAAAAAAAACAAAAAAAAAACAAAAAAAAAACATTAAAAATTAAAAGCAAAATTAATAAAGTCAAATTTTTTCACAAGTCATTAGAAGGAATTATTAAATTATCTTGGGAAAAAACGATATGATTTTTTTTTTCACAGCCCGAGTTTTCATCTATTTTTATGTACTTTTGTGCCGACTCTCCTAATAGGATTTCACAAATTCAAAGTTGCTTTGGGGTTAGATAGTGATCGTACATGTCTTAGGACATATGTACAATACTTTTATTCATTTAGCGGTCCATGTATAGATAAAATTAGAAATTAAGACAAAAAAAATATCTTAAAAATCTCATTTTAAGGGGACGTGCCTACTATTTTTATAAAATACAGGTAGGCATAAAAATTATGCACAGGTTGGAATTGCGAATTATATTTTACGGTCTCTCTACGGTTAAAAAGTGAGAGATTTCGGGTATAAAGAAACTATGTAGTCAAAGCTGAATGTAGCGAGTTTTGGTATTTTTTTTTTTTTTGGTTTTAAAATATTTTGTTGCCGAGGGCATATTTAAAATAAAATTTCAATTTACAAATGCAGTTAAGCTCCTTTAGACCGAGCTCCCCTTTAGCGAAGTCCTCTGAGACATTGCGACTTATTCAGTCTTTTTCCGTAGATTTTTTTGTTCTTTGGTTTTTTCTATAGCGAACTCTACACTAAAAAACTAACCAACAACCCCTTCCCGCCCTGGACAAA